CACACACACACACACACACACACACACACACACACACACACACACACGGCTGCACCCCCTCGCTTTAAATGAATTGTGTCTGTAATCAGTCGTAACATTTAATATTAAATGTTGAGAAATGTCGAGGCTTAAATTAAATATTTTTAACACAAAGTTTTTTAAAAAAAAGAAGAAATTACAATCTCTTTTTAAATGATAATTCAAAATGCAAACTAAAGTTTTTACTAAAACCAGCATTCGTTGAGGAATGTACGTCTCCGGTCACCTTTTATGCCCGAGTTTAAAACTAAAACCATCGAATGATGAGAAACTACGACATCATGATTAATTTGGTTAAACCTTATAGAACATTATGCACACACACACGCACACACACACACACCCTTGTGTGATCTGTGCATTTTAAAATTATTCTCAGGTACTACCAGGGAACATGTCTACTCTAAAGGCTCTCTAGTATCTCTAGCACTACTATCTAGACTCTAGTATTTCATCATTTCTAATTATGTTTTGTGTTTCATATTTTTATTCCATATGCTGTAATTATATCTTGTTACTTTTTATTTGATGCTGTGATCTTTTTTCTCTTTTGTTAAACACTTTTTTTTCTGTTTTAAATGTGCTTTATAAATAAATCTGACTTGAGTCAATGTAAAACTCATTTTGTGTCGACAGCTGTGTTAATCTGCGACAGCCATCGTGAAGCAGGTCGACTCCAATTTAATCAGTTGAAGTGCATCTGATTACTTCCTCTGAGTTTCATAATCTGTCCAGTGGTTAATGAGATATTTTGCTAACAATTTAATTCAATTCAGTTTATTTATAATGCGCCAAGTCACAACGGAAGTTGTCTCAGGGCACTGAGCATTCATATATAAATAAAAAATAATAATTTGACATCATTTATCTGAGGAGCAGACTGCTTTGAATTCAACTCCATCACAGACTCTCATCTTGAGCATGAAGGCGACAGTGGAAAGAAAAAACTCCCTCATGAGGAAAAAACCTGTAGCAGAACCAGGTTCAGGACAAGCGTCCATCTGCTTCGACCGGCTGGGTTTGAGAAGAACAGATACACAATGGCAGGTCAAGAATCACGTTAAGATAGAAATAGTATCAAATGAAAAATATTCAATTTTAACAATTCATTTAAGGAAATGAGCTCAGTTTATCCTCTAGTAGTCTAAGCCTATAGCAGCAAAACAAGCTGAAACTAACTATAGGATTTATCAAAAAGAAAAGTCTTAATCCCAGTCTTCAAACTGGACAATGTGTCAGCCTCACGGACGGAAACTGGAAGTTGGTTCCACAAGAGAGGAGCCTGATAACTGAAAGATCTTCCTCCCATTCTGCCTTTGGAAACTCTAGGAACCTCGAGTAAGCCTGCAGTCCGAGAGCAAAGTGCTCTGTTAGGAAAATATGGAACAATAACAGCCAAACACATGGACAGACACAGATGTAAAATTATCTTGGCTTGTCTTTCAGTGGTGTGATAAAAAATAAATAAATAAATAAATAAATAAATAAATAAATAAATAAAAACTTGAGCACAAACCTGCAGAAATGAATCAGTTTCTTAAAAAAATAAAAATAAAAAATAAAATAAAAGCAAGATTTTATTTCCATGAGTAATGTTACAATGGGTCTCCTGTTCAATAATTTTTTTTTTTTTTTTTTTTACAAATTCCAATCCCAAAAAGTTACTAATTAACCAATAAAGACTGAATTATGAATAAAAAAAAAAAAACTTAGCATCCTATAAGGACTGCCAGCATCTTTTTAGTTTTGCCGAATTTATTTTTCATCCCATACGAAGCACAAAAGATCTTGAACTTCTATGTTTAAGCTGCGTGAAGCTGACACCCCACCCACGTGAAAAATTCCAGCAAATACAATGAGTGGTTAGTTCAAGGACTCAAGGATTTTTTTTATTGTCGTACCAGCTCACATTTTCACGTTTGCGATACGAAATTCGTACTCAGGTCCCAGATCAAGCAGCTTAACAATTAACAAATAAATAAAAACAAATGTGTGCTCAAATAGTGCTCCGTTTGTGCTGTGAAAATAATTATTTGTGCTGCTTTGGTTTCTGAGATATCAAAAATTTATTTTAAGTCATCCAGCAGATCATCATCTTGCTCCAAAACAAACCAAAGTGCTCTACGTTTTTAGTGCTTCATTTGTGCAGCTTTTGTTTATGAGATATTAGAAGTTAGAATTTCGTCCGATGACGTCGATGTTTGGGACTGCCCTCGGGTGCAGGGCTTCTGGAAACATGATTGAAGATACAAATCCCTTCCCGGTCATCTTTTGACTTGATGAGTTCCCTGATCATTTCACCCATGATCAAAGCTCTGATACATATTCTCCTCATGGCGGCAAGAAAAATGATCGCGGTCAATTGGATGAAACCCGACTATTGATCAGTGGATTCCAAAAATAAGACACGTGTGCAAAATGGAACAATTACATAATGTTTAACTACAATTTAAAACTCAGAGCTCTGAACAACTGTGGGGACATATTGTTAATATTCTTAAATAAAGCTCTTTTGTTGTATTGTTATTTTTTTTTAATTTAGCCCTGTACAAATAGTACAATAATCAATAATACAATAGTCCCTCATTTATCGCAGGGGATCCGTACCCTGAAGACAAGCGATAAGTGAAAAACCGCGAAGTAGGAATAGTAGTACAAGTAGTAAGAAGTAGTTTATTTTATCATGTATATAGGTATATATTAAGGTGTTTTAAACCCTTCTCACACTCTTGCAATATTCTAAACAATGTTTCTAAACTCTAAATGCTCTAAAAGAGCACAGCATGTCGTGATTTCAGCTCTCTGCCTCCTCTGCTCTCAGCCACCTGCAAGTGTTCTTGGCCACGCCCACTTCTCCGCTCTGCACGCTGAGCATCTGATCAGCTGCAGCAGGACGTTTATCCTGCAGCAGTACGGGCTGCACAAAGCTGCAGGAGGTGCTAAATAATTCAACATAATTAATTTTAAATACAAATTTTATGTCAATCGTGCGGCTCATCCATCAATCTGCCAGTTGTGTCATGTCCACTCTTATTTTGAAAAACCGCGACAGAGCGAATCCGCGATAAACGAAGTAGCGAGGGACTACTGTACTGCGTTTTTGTTGTTGAAGAGACGGCCGAGTCTAAAGACTTAATTGTATGTACAGGATGTTACCTGCCTGTTTCTTGTTTGGCAACAAAAGTTAAAAAATAAAATCAAACATGCGGTGATAAAAACACAAAGGGTATGTAAAGAACACCACCTTCCTAAAAAAGGGCTGTGAAAATTCAAATCTTACCTCGTTTCTGCATGAAGACAAAGAGTTCATCGAGGAACTCCTTTCGCTGGGGCTCATCATCTAGTTCATAGAGCTGCAGGGAGAACCAACAGGACACCAGTCAGCTGGTACTGGGAGGTGACTGGAGGTATTTTTCATGTTTACATCCATCACAACTACAAACCTTGGCAAAATCTCTCGACGGCTCTCCTTTTATTTTTCCTCCTTCGTTCTCCTCGGCCCATACGCCTCCTCCTCCTCCTCTCTGCAAAACAAACATGTACATGTTAACAGTTTGTCAATAAAACCCATGGTTTATTGCCAGCAGATTGCTGCAGAACACACACACAATCCTTTTATTTTTGCCTTTAGGTTGTTTTTTTAATCTTATGTACTGAGACAAATCATACACTTGGTGCCAGGGTTCTTTAGCACCTGATTTACAGCATCACAAGGTGTATTTGCTCGAGGCCCCCTCCTCCGTAGACTCACAACGGTGCCAAACTTCCACCACCTGTAGATGGTTTTTCTAACCGTGGACCGAGCGATGCCCGTTTCTTTAGAGATGCTTTTGTATCCCTTCCCAGCGTAGTGCAGATCCACAATCCTCCTCCTGACATCCTCAGATAGCTGCAGTGCTGGAGACATGGCTACCAACACACTAGCAACCTCTGGAACAGCAGACTGTCACCAGCCGAGCTTCAGGTGTCCTTATTTATAGGGAGGGGCCCCAACTGCATCTCCTTAATTGGAGCACCTGACTCCAAGCAGCTCTGGAGACCTCGTTAGCACAAAGGTTCACATACTTGTAGTATAGAATGTAAAAAAAACACCTTCACGCTGAATTTAAAAATGATCTTTACTGAATCAAATAATTATTCAACAGATTTAAATTGTCTTCTTGAATGTGTAGTTTTGATGGGGACGTAAAAAAACTGGTGCGACGTTATTCTCTGCACAGATCACGACGCTCCAGAACCAAACACAAAGCAAGTGTTTATTTTAGTGTTCATTAAATCAGGCAGGCTGCTGGCAGCAAATGATGCCAAGAAATAACTTCTTCAAAAACAAAAGATAAAACAGAAGTTTTAGTCCAGGCGAACACTGAAACTCAGAAACTGAGTACCGTATTTTCTGCCGTACACATCGCATCAGTCCAAATATGTCTAATAAAGCGGAAAAAAAACATAAATATGTCGCTTCGCCGTATAAGTCACATTTATTATGCATCACCTATGACAAACCAGAAAAGTGGGCCGGTGTTGTTAAAAAAAATCAATTGGCTGCCAAATGGTGGCCGCGGGAGCGTGACAGGAGGACTTTAACAAGAATTCAACAAGATTAACACTTCAAAACAATTATTTGTTTACTCGACATTATAGTAAAGGTGTGTCTCAGTTGAACTTTTCTTTAATAAATTCACTTTAAAGGTCAAATCAGCTGCATTTCTCCTGGGCGGTGCAGTGAAATGCAGCTGGTTTGACGTTTGCTCCAGGAGTTCCAGAGCGAGACGAAGTGCGTCTCATGAATAGCCACTTTTAACTATTAATGAGACACTTGGCTTGCCCTCTAGTGGCTGAAAATGGTAATGCTCAATATTTTCCATGTCTGAATGAAATTGTCAGATCTCAGCCAAAAATTGAGTTATAACTATGGGGGGGAAAACAAATATGTTGCTTCACTGTATAAGTCGCAGGGCATGCTAATTTATGCAAAAAGGTGTGACTTATACAGCGAAAAATACTGTACTTATCTCAAAACTACCACTGACCGCCTCCTGTCCACAACTCCTGTCAGATGCAGAGTAATCAGAGTATTTCTGCTGGCGACTGGAGGTCTGAAGTGAACAAGAGTGGAAGAGAGTCCCATGGGGTGCTCCAGTCCACCCTGTCTGAACCCTTTAGTCATAGAAACTCACCATCACAGAGTCAAACAGTGCAGATGATTATACAGCCATCACTTTGATTCATCTCCTCACAGAGCCTCTCAAACGCTTCTGTGTTTAAGAGAAACCAGAATGCATGATCTGAAGATAAACTGTTTATCTACAAATTAATATTATACCTCGTTTCATGGTAATCAGATGCAAAATTACTGGTAATTTGTCATCGGTTGATATTAAACCAGACTTTTTTCCAGATTCAACCCCCTATTTTTTGACAATTGCCTTTGAAATCTACCCCTGGTAAAAATCAACTGTGCACGTGTTTTTAAATGCACACAGCCATGCCATGAATAAAACATCATCCATGATGCGTACGAGAAACAACAAGCAGCCATGAAGCTGAGGGGAACTCCTGCAGACACCAACGGCAGAGAGTCTAAACAGGGTTTTAAATCCAGTGTGCACTCAGAGTATGATCAGCTGCACACAGAGGGGTCCATCTGGGACATCTCTGGAGTTATGTCCAGCTACTAACATCCCCTCCCAGGAGACGAGCCTGTAAGCTGAGACAACATGAAGGAATGTGACGACACTGCATCCTGCAGGCTTCTTGTTGCTGTTTGCTGCTGCGGACCGTCAGCCGAAACAAGCTGTGACCACAAACACGTCCGAAAGACAAAAGGTCCACCAGGGGGACATCAGCTCAAAACAAAGACAACACAAAACCGTGTTTTTACTGTAGTTCTGTTAAAGGTTAACCGAAGCGCACCACAGACGTTTACAGCCTCATAAATCCTGTTAGCACGTGAAAAAAGGGCACAGCTTTAAAACAGACGTTCACAAAGAAGAATGCTAACACAAAAAGACACGTCAGAAATCTGACATATATGATATTTTAATTGCCGTAGATACCTCTTTGACCAATGAGTCTGGAGAAATAAGAGTTTAAGTCTAACAAGATTAACTAAACTAGAGCTACAGGCTGGTCAGTCCAGGTAGAGTTACACTGTTTCTCTAAACTGAGGTTGTTCAAGAAGCTGAACAAAGTCAAATATTATTAGTTCACAAGTTTCTACCGAACGCCACTTGTTGTTTGAAACGACCGCGTTTGAAAGTCAAATACGGCAGGTTTTATTTTCAATAAGCTAAAACGTTAAGGAGTCGACCGTCTCCCTCATGAAAACCTTTAAACTGTTGCTCAGACCAAAAATAATCAGGTCGTCCAACTGTTTCCTAATTTGTTTTTGTATTTTTGTTCTGTGTTCCTATGATTTTAATGATTTGAATGAATTCTTCAGTATTATCATTAGTGCGTGTTGTTTTTTCATTAATTTTCCTCTCACTCATGTTCTTGTTAAGCACTTTGATAACAGTTTCCGTTTTAAATGTGCTCTTTAAATAAAGTTGACTTGACGTTCCATTTAGCCATTTTAAGATTTTTTTAAAACCAACAATTAAACAAATATGTGCGAGTTATCAAAGGCGATTTTCATCTGCAGTTCCTGAATCTTTAACTCTTTAAATGTTTTTTAAACGTTTACATTTTTTTATTAAATCTATAAAAATCAACATACATTTATTTGCTTTACATGCTTCAGAAACTAAAGGTTCTGTTTACACGTGTTCCTGGCGCTTTCATGGGTTTAAAAGAATAATTATTCATTTCATACGCCTTATTAGATATTTAGCATCCCCACCCCCCCTTGAAGAAAAGACTCAACTGAGCTCAAATAAATGTTGAAAACAAAAACTTTCATTTCCTCATCGTATTTAAATGACCACATGAATAAATCATTTGATGTTGACGCCGTAAAAATTGACATTTGCTTCAGCTGAGCACAGATGACGCAGATTAACCAAGCGAAGCTTTCAGTTTAGGTAGATTAATCAGGACATGTGGTTTCTTCACCACCTTCCCCCTTAAGAAGCCAGCGGGACATTAGAGGTTGAAAACGTCGGGGCAGCTCGAGTGCAGCTGTGTGAGGGCCTGCTGAGAGGCCACAGCTCTGCACAGAAGCTGCTCTTCACGATTAACTTTCGTTCATTGGGTTTTCATTTATTTGTTGGTTTTAAACGTCCCTTCACAGATCTGTTTTACAGCCCTCTGTTGCACGTCGTTCTGACTGTGTGGGTTCATGAGGCACACCGAGCGCCCCATGCTGTGGATTAAAACAGACGTGCTTCAGAAAACAAAACTTCTTCTTAGTATTTGCCAGGATTACTTGCTGCACGTACAGAACCGTGTCATCCTCTGCCAATATTCCACTCCACCTAATGTTGGATGCGGCAGCGTGAGCAGACTTGGGGACAAAAATAATCCCAGGAATGAATAATCTGTTGCTTCTGGTCCAACTCTCGGTGTATTTACTAAAAGCGCAGTTCAAACTGTTAATTGTGACACACAGTTCACAGCTGCATCGTAAAGTTACGTAGAGGCTCTTTGTTGTTGACGTACACCCACAACCTATTTAGCCCCCCCCCCCCCCCCGGTCGACATCTTGAGGCAGATGTTCACACTGAGTCTGGTTCTGACGGACTTTTCTTTCTTTTAAAGGAAGGTTCTCACCAAATGACCCCAAATGTTTGCACAAAAGGAACGACCGGGGTTCTTTGTAGACGACTTGAAGGTCTGGGGTTCGTTAATGAAGAGCTCCGAGAGCACAATGTGGTTTGAAATAAGTTAAAATAGATCAAAATCTAAAACAAACAAACAAAAACAAACGTGTTTTATACCAAACTGTGTATCTACAACAACATACAACGTTTCAGATATAATATTATTCATAAAAGGCACACATTGACACCATAAAATCAAAGATAACACGTTATCCTGAACTATATACCACATGCTGCAGTTTCCTCTGTTCATATGTGTCAAACTCAAGGCCCGGGGGCCAAATGTGGCCCTCGTTGACATCTTATCTGGCCCCCAAGATGATATGTGAAACGTAAAATACTTTTGTCTCTTGAATTTGTTTAGTAATCTTTGATTATGATGTCCATAGCACAACAGAGAACATCAAATGAGACCAATCAAACTCTTGTTGAGGAACCTGTGACCAAGAAAAGATGTTGGTGTCTGATTTAATTAATCTAGATTATGAAACTGGCCCTTAGTTTGAAAAATGTTTTAATTTTGGCCCCTTTGTAAGTGAGTTTGACACCCCTGCAGGTGTTTTAAATATATGCAGTTCTGAAATGCAGGTCCGCACTGAATGTAAACAAAGCACACAGCTGAAGCGGCTGAGCCCCAGCGTTAGCTCTCGGCTGATCTTCATTAGGCTGGTCTGTGCAGGTCAACAATAACGGACAAATGGGACAAGAGCAGCATTTAGGAGGAAATATGGGAGTAATTCTGCAGCTACACCCCAAGGAAAGGAGAACACAAGAAGCAAGGGTCAAGACTAAATATTGGGGATCGAACAGGACTGTAGAACGCTCTGCTCGAACTTTTGCAAACTTTGTTTCTTCTCAAAGTCTTCGTGACTTTGCAACGAGTACCTTTAAGCTCCAACACGGTGATGCAGGTTAGATATTGTCCCTGAATTTAATCATTACTTGTAGTTTAGTCAGCCATCTCTTCAGACATGTCACTTTAATCATTCCTATCAGGTAATCATTGAGTCAAGTGCTTTATTTATACGTTACCTGAAGCTCATGTTAAGCACCTCCCACAAGCCTCTAACTTTCTGCAGACCACCACCACCACCACCACCGTCACAAACACCCACTTCAGGGGTTAAAATGGTTAAACAGTCCACTGTATCCACCACACACACACACACACGTTTGCAGAGTTGTTGACGCTGTTAAAAGCCTCAAATTAAAAATTCTCTTAAATGGACTCCCGTCCTTCCAGCAAAAAAAGAAAATAAAAAGTATTGAGGGGAGATAAACACCGCAGGCTTTTCACCATCAAATCGAAATAAAACCCTCCCCCCTTATTGATGAGGAAGTGGGACCTACTGCAGATCTATTAACAAAGAGCCTTCAGTTAATTGCTCACAGAGCTTTCACACATGCTGCCTGGGAACCCTGATAGTGTTCAGGATGTGGGCCAGGAAAAAGGATTTCTTTGTTGTTCAACGGACAACGTTTCAGACTTGGATTTTAAATAACTTAATGCATCCTGCTGCAAACCAATTCTGTAGACGTTTGTCTTTCCTACCATGCGTTAAAAGCATTCAAATATTCACATATCGCCATATCGTTGTAGTAAAACTAACATTTCTTCACGAAATGCACATCTTCCACCTCTTTCCTGTTGAAGTTTTAAACAAAGACGGTTAGAACTCACACATAAATGAGGTCTCAGTCTCAGCTACCATCACCCCAAACTTTAGTTCAATATCTGTAAAACGGACTGATTTAAAGTTATTTTGGTGGTTTCTATGGTTAATTAACTGCGGGGGTCGTCTTGAATGAATTGAACTCCAAAAGTTAATCAGTTGTAGATGTACACCCAGTGATTCTTTTCTGAGAGTTTGATTAAAATAAGTCCAGTGAGTCAAGAGATACTTTGTTAACAGACAGACAGGGTTGAGACCAAAACTTAAAGCTGAAGATTTTATTTAAAATATGTTGCGCAGTTTTTCAGCAATCAGAATTGGTTGGAAGTGACTCTCAGTTATTAACGCGCAAAAGTTTAGCTCCGTATCTGCAAAACTGACCGAGGTTGAGCCTTTTTTGTGTTTGCCAAGTTAAGTTAGCTGTGGCGGCCATCTTGAGCTGGACTGACCACAAACATCAATAAACTGTAGATAAACAGTTAAAGATTACTATGTGAAAGTGTCATTAAAATTTGTTCAGTGGCTCATGAGATATTTTGCTAACAGACAAACGAACGCACACAGAGGCTATTACATTCTCCATGTCACCACGAAAGGAACGATAAGCCTAATTAAAGACTCAGCTATCTCTGTATGGCAAAAGTTAAATCCTTTTTTAACTTTCTGATCTAAAAGTTAAAACCTTTTTTTTTTGTTTTGTTTTCATCTAAAATAAATAGTTGAGCCTTTCCTCCATAAAAAAAAAAAAAAAAAAAACCTTCATCAGCTGTAAAGCCTCTCGGATAAACTCTGTTTTACACATGCAGGTAAGAAAGGGACAGTTCAGATCTTTGGAAAATGGGTTCGGTGGAAACGTTATGAATAGTAAATATCTTACTTGCTGTAGATAGCTCTTCGGACTAGTCCAGATTAACGAGTCAACAAGTAGTTGGCCACAGTGGGTCAAGACCAAACGGGTCCATAATTTTATAACAACTCCAAGCTCAACATTTTTAAACACGTAGTGAAACGAACAGTGAAGTTACGGTTTATAAAAAAAGCATTAGCATCAACCGCGATGCAATTTTGGACACAAAGAATTATTTTGTTACTTTGGTTTTGACTCCGCTCAGGCTAACTACAGTTAGCTCGTCAGTCTGGTTTGTTTCTGACCGGACTGAAATGGTGCGAGCAGAACCAGCGCGACGACGACGAAGGAGCTGGTGGAGGAAACTGGAAACTGAGGAGTACAAAGACCTGGGGATGTTCATGACAAAGACCTGGGGATGTTCATGACAAGGACCTGGGGATGTTCATGACAAGGACCTGGGGATGTTCATGACAAAGACCTGGGGATGTTCATGACAAGGACCTGGGGATGTTCATGACAAAGACCTGGGGATGTTCATGACAAGGAACTCTGAGGTACAAGAAGGGACAGAGACGCCTCGTATTTTCTGAGGAGGCTGCGGTTCAACACCTGCAGGACGATGCTGGGGATGTTCTGGGGACCAGTGTTATATTGTTTAACGTCGGGGTGTGGGTTGAAGGTGCAAGTGCAAACAGAATAAATAAACTTGATCAAAGGACTAGTGGTGAAAAGAGGATGTAATCAAAGTTCAAGCCCATCTTTAACAACATCGCACCCACTTTGTGAGGTCCTGCACACATGTAGCCCTACAACCTGTTTGTCCGGCTTTAATATGATCATTTATTCACATTCTTCACTAGCTTCATTTGTTTTTATTGTCTGCTTCCTGTTATCCCTGCTCTGTGCATTCAAGGAGTGGCTGCAACAATGTTAAATTTCCCTCCGGGGATCAATAAAGAATTCCTCTCCATCTATCTGAAATCGTTCAAAGAGCTAGAAAACAAGTAAGATGTTTATTGTTCATAACCTTTCCACAGAACCCCACTTCAAAAGCTCTGAACTATTGCTTTCATTTAAATAAAAATCATTAATATTCCAGGTTTGGGCAGCTGGTGAGTTAAAATAAAAGAACAGGAGCTCACTCACTGCAGCAGCCTTTTATTGCATTGATTTAACGCAGGGGAAATAAGGCGCCATTTAGTGTTGCTAAGCAACGGCTAAATCATGCAAAGCGCCGAGCTACAATAACGACAGCACGGAGATGATCTTTGTTCCAGCTCTAATGAGCGGCTCACAGTTGAACACATCCTTTAAATAAGGGTTTTAAATGTTTGCATCAGAATAACATTTTGAAGTTGGCTGTAGAGCTTTTATTGATTTTGTAGCTGTCAAAGAAGGGTGTAAAATAAGAAGATACTGCACCCTGGAATAATGAGCATGAGGTGCATCAAACGCTCAGTGATCATACAAAAAGCTCCTTCTGCTCTAATAAAAAGTAATGCAGGAAAACGCAGCGGCTGTTTTCATGCTGTGAGGCACTGGTCCAGCTGTCCCTCCACAGCCTCATTAATCATAATGTATTATATTGACATGGGGCCTTTTCAAGGAGACCAGACACACGAGGGCCAGTCGGGCAAACCTTCAAAAAGAAGGAAAACATCCACAAGAGGAGCCTCTTTTCTTTAAAGCACTCGAAAACACCTGCTGGGTCTTATTATTTAAAGGAACGCTCAACGATACACACTTACAGTGTAATAAAAATAATATTGTATTTTACGCCCTATAAGTCGCAGCTTTTTCCATCATTTGCATGCCCTGAAACTTATAAGCAGAAGCAACGTATTTAAGGATCTTTTTTCCAGATTTAAAAAACTATTTTTGTCTCAAGATTTGACTGTTTTCATTCATTCTGACTGAAAATATTGACCACTACCATTTTCAGCCACTAGATGGCACTCGAGAAGTATGGCATGCCGTTGTGTCATGTAATAGGTACAAAGTGGCTATTAATGACACAATCGGCTTGCCATAGCCTGCCACCTTCGTCCAGCTCGCCTGGAGCAACCGTCAAATCAGCTGCATTTCTCTGCACCACCCTGGAGAAATGCAGCTGAATTGACCATCGAAGAGCATTTATTAAGTCAAAGTTAGACTGAGACACACCTTTATTATGAAGTCGAGCAAACAAATAATTATCTTTAAGAGTTAATCTTGTTAAAATCTTGTTAAAGTCCTCACGTGAACGCTCCTGCAACTGTCATTTGGCAGCCAGTAGATTTTTGGCACAACACCGGCCCACACTTCCAGGTTGTCAGCGGTGACGCGTAATAGATGCAACGTATTTATGGATGTTTCCACTTTATTACACATATTTGGACGGATGTGACTTTTATGGCTGTGCGCCGTGTACGGTGTAAAATACGGTAAAAATAATACACACCTGAGGCCATGCCAGTAACCCTCTGCTCCCATTTCATCTCCATCCACTGACCTCAAGTAGCTTCTCCGCACAGTTAGAGCTGGATCACAGCCAAGGACGGTGTGGTGAAACTGTTTGTTTGTCTCGAGGCCTGAGACTTGAGGTGCACAACCAAGACACCAGCCAAAAATACCACCAACATTTAGGCGTCCTGCCAAATGGACACGCTCCGTCCTCTTTAAGGTGAGAAAGCATGCGGTGGAGCGGGCAGCAGTCAGCCTGACCCTCAACAAGAGGAAGTCAATAATTAATAAAGACACAACCGTGCACAAGCTGGAAGAAAAGAAGCGAGCACAGATGTTTGTGTTTCTCGGAGCGCTGCAGCCTAGACATGACTTCCAGCACACGTTAAACCGTTCACACACAGTGAGTGTACCTGCTTGAAGAGCTCCTCGTAGCTCCAGTCGGTGAAGCCGTTGGGCGAAGTGAAGACGGTTGGAGCTGTAGGAGACGGCCGCTCCTTCTCCTCCTGCTTCAGCGCTGGACACTCGGGCTCGGCAGCAGGTGCATAGGGCTGAAAGCGAGAAACCTGTTGGAGTTCCTGCTTCTTCGCCTGAAGATGAGGCCCATGCTCATCTCCCTCCTCTTCCTCGCCTCCCTCCTCAGGCTCCGGCATCTCTTCCGCCTCCTGATGCGAGTCCTCCACCTTCAGGTCCAGTCTGCTCAGGCTGTGCTGGGCGGCCTGATAAATCTGCCCGTTGGCTCTCCCGAACGGGTCGGGTCTGGAGCTGGACGCCCGGGCCGCCGCCGCCTGCTGGGCGAACAGGAGCTGAGCTTGGAGAAGATGTTTCTCCTGCAGGTTCATCTCCAGCTTGGCCCCCTGTTGTCTCTGCAGCTGCTCCATCATCGCCTCCAGCTTCACCCCTGCAGGATGGGGCTGTGGACAGCCCGCCAGCGGCCCCTCCTCACAACAACTCGACTACGGACACACAAAATAAATAAAGCAGCAAAGTGAAAATCTTTCATGTGCAACACAAGAGCTGAAAGAGGCAAATGATGTTTCAGAAACATGTCCATTTGTTTATAATTAAATAAAGTTAAAGTGAACTTTGACCCCATTAGGTGGCTTTAAAACTCCAAACAAGCTTAATGTTAGAGAGCTACCACATTTCGACACTCAGCTTGTTTCAAATCTTAAAGAATAAAAGATTAGTCTTGGACTTACTGTTTACATAAACTGATTTTATGCATCATGTGAAGTTTGTTCGGAGCAGCTTCCAGGAGCGCGTGTCTCATAAAACCCGTGCAACATTTCTGCTCTGTGGCTTTGTTACTGTAACAAACACGAGAAAGAGTCGTCGACACTCACCGTGCGCGCCCTGGAGGAGTTCATTCTCACCAAGTCTGATCTGTAGTTTGATCCGCTCGTTTCCTCCAATAATCACATCGCACCAGCAGTTTCTGGGTTTTTTCTGTTTGCAGTTTGTCTTTTGATCGAGAGTGATTTTCACCAACCCCTGCGGTGTGGAGGCCGGAGAGATCCCAGCGCTGCAGGAGGAGGAGGGGTGATAGTGCCGTGCGTGCGCGTGCACGCGCGCGTTACCTCCCCGCCTGGTCACTGCGCATGGAAACTCAAACATCTTTGATTGTCTGTGACTGGTGACACACACACACACATACACACACACACACACACACACACACACACACACACACACACACACA